CGTTGGAAAAAAAAATTAAAAAAAAAAAAAAAGAACTACTTGCAACTTCACGAAACCTCCGTTATTCTATACGGTCATGCCTTTGTATTTGCCTTGCCTTCTGCCTGGACGTCTATGCCCTACTGGCCCCTCGGCTGATTTATACTCATTCTTCAAGCCCCAACTCGGCCACTCGTGTCTTCTGAGACTTCCCTGGCCCTAGCTCCTGTGCCCTCCTGTACCTGCTGATGAGTCCTTCCTTTGTGCCCCCTCCATATCCTTTGGCATCTGTCTCACAATGGCCATGTACTTGACTCCGCTGAAATTATTTGCTTTCTTGTCTACCTTCCCTATGGGCTGAGAGCTCCCTGAGAGCAGTATCTCTCAGCGTCCCCGGAACCAAGCACAGCATCTGGGCCTTGGCTCATGCTCCAGACATTAATAAACACTCTAACCTCTGGGCGAGTGGAACTCACCCGCCGGGCAACAGAAGTACACGAGTTCTTGCTGGACTCCGACGTGGGCAGTTCTCCAATTCCTTAATGCTTCTCATTGAAAGACAGATGTCACTCGGGCCTTTGCAAGAAGGAAGGCCAGTCCTGCATGAGGCCCTCCCCACGAAAGCTTCATCTCAGGCCTGGCTAACAACAGCCGCAGGATGGTACATCACCCTGTTAGGTGAAACCAAATGGCCTGCGTCACCTCACGCTGATGGCACTGTGTGTGCGTTCTCAGCCACCCGCTCCCACATCATTTTACTTGTGGGAGTCAGGCATCATGTTCCAGTAGGGGACACCGCAGCCCTCTGTCACTCGGCAGCTAACCCAGCCACACAGTCTGTCCTCGGGGCATCCGAGGCTTCGGGCTGGCTGAGCAGCTTCTAGTCCCAGGACGGCCCCCAGTCAGGCGCGGAGGCCCCATTACTAAGTAAGCCCAGGGCATGAGTTGTTCCTCTGATAAAGAATGACAAATAGGCCTGAGCTTTGCAACACAGAAGGACAAGTGCTACAAGACGCTGATGTCTCTGATGGAAGGAAGGACATAGACAGGGGTTCTCATTTCCTTTGTGTGAAAACTGGGGCACCTGCTGCTTGGGGGCAGGTGTCTGCAAAAGCCAAAAACCCCGCCCACTGTGGCCGGCCTCGGCACCCCTCCTGGGCCCAAGTTGTTTCAGGACTGTGATTCTCCAACTTCTGGAGCTTTCCAGCACGCCTTTCCAGGCCTGGCCTGAGGAGAACAGTCCTGAGTCTCGGGCTGCAGGCTCCCCGTACTCCCACCTCCAGTGTCACTTTCCATCACCGCCAGCAACCCCTCCCAGAGAGGTCTCTTTCCAAAGGACCCCAGGCAAGAAGACAGAGGGAGGTTAGGGCCGTTTCCTCACACCTTGTTTTACTCCCCCCCCCCCCCAAAAAAAGAACAAAATAAATCTCTGTGTCACTGAAAGTCAGTGAATGACAACATCATAAAGATGAATGCACTTTGACAGCTCGAGCCTCCCTGTCACTCAGTGCAGGTGCTATTTTGCGGGCAGTACGATTCTTTTTTGCATGAGCGTCAAGATACAGCAGATCGTTCAGCGCTCGTGACCTCGGCCGGAGACGTGCCAGAGACACCCCCACCCAGTCACTGCCTCAATCAGATTACCCCTTCTCACGCTCAAATGCCCCCTGGAGTTTTAGGGGGAAGAGCCCCTTGTTAAGAGACAAGACCTTCAGGAAATTGCCTACCAATGACGTTTATGCAGGTTTCAAAACCACCAGGCCATCCATATTCACTCACATTTTTCCAGGCTGAGAATAAGTGTGGTCCACCAGCAGAAATCCGTTCCCAGAACCCGCGCTCTCTCCTTGTTCTCGTACCCATTCATTCCTTTGATGAGGATCTTTATTTAAAAAGGAAAAAAAAATGTGTGTGGATTCTAAAAGGTAAAACTCGCTTAAGTCTTGTTCTGCGAACAGTGATGGTTAAAAAACAATCTGTGCAGGCCCAGAGATAAGGAAGTTCTCTGCATCAAGTAAATGCCCTTTGCTAACCCAAATTTCCTCTTTCCCAGTAACAAAGGCTCGGTGCTCACACTCCCATAACCAAGCGCCCCTTTCCCTCAGCCCCTTATTCCCATCACCTCCCAGCCAAAGTTCCTTCCTTCCTATTCCTTGTGAAAGTCACACTGTGCTCTACCCTGTCAGCCAGGTTCAACCACAGTGTGTTCCCGGGCCAATACCGCCCCTCAACCCCAAGCAGCGGATGCATTTACCCCACACTTCTGCACACCTCTCTTGGTGTTCGCCAGTTTTCACCTGTGTAACCGCTGCCTTAATCCACGCCTGCGTCACCCACCTCCTGGACCGTCGCAGCCGCCTCATGGCTGCTGCTGCTGTCAGCCGTCTCCTCCCCATCCTGGATCACTCTCCCCGACTGCTACCAGAACGAACTTCCTAAAAGGCAAACACACTCGGGTCCCAGATCCCTGCTGTCGAATTGTACACACGCTGTTGTGATGGTGATAGCCAATCCCCTGTGACGGGAACAGCACACCCCACCGAAGCCAGAGGACAACGTGGGGCCATCAGAGGGGGCATAAGGTGCTAAGTAGCCACTGGGGGGGGGGGGGGGCTCTGGCCCAAGCTCTGGGCACACGAGCCTTATATAGACCTATCCCTGAGTGTGCAGGTGGGCGCATCCAGAGCTAATCTGGAAGTAGAAAAGGACCCGGGACAGTCAGGTCTAAAATGGGACTTTCTAACTGTATGAGGAGTGAAATTGTTATGATTTGATGTACCGTATCTGAAATTTTAGAAACATCGTAAGCTTCTTCCCTGGCACTGATTTTCCAGAGAAAGGAGAAGGACCTGCGTGAGCCTCTGAGGAGCCCCACAGAAACTACCTTCCAGTCTTTGGAGAGAATTCCAATGTTCCTTCCCTCAGCGGCTGAAGGGCACTGGGGACACTGTGGCCTCTACATTTTCAGGCTCTTGACCTGGAGCCTCCTAATACTGTTCAGAAAATGTTCTCTACCTCTGCCTTCTGTCACCCAATCAGGCAGTTATTTGAATATATGTGACTGCCTTTTAACGAAATCGTATGTACAAATAGAATGAAACAAAGCAAAACAAATGCTAAACTAATTATATTTTAGAAACATATTTCCTCACTCAAGATGCCAAGTTATAATTCATTCTGTTGGCTTCAAATCTATTTGGCTTAAGAGCTCTTTTGATTGATGACAGATATGTGAACTAATTCATTATATATTCATTCATTCATTCTGTTACTCTTTATTAACTGTCTGTAGAATGCTTGGCATGAATTGGGCCGATCTGATATGCACAAAGCCTCCATATTATTCACGCTATGTCACAGAATATACTGATCTACTGTGGAACTTTACAATATATATGTCCCTTTTAATTCTTTAAGCCAATGGCCCATCAGGACAATTTTTTAAAAGCATGCACTTAAAGTCAAATCCAAAGGATAGATTAACATTGTCTTGGAGAAGTGTGATACTTTAAAAATATGCCTGCAAGTTGTTTGACATTCCTATCATCGAGAGGCGTCAGTCTGTATCCACTCTCCTTGAACCTGGACCAGCCTTAGTGCCTGGCTGACCCACAGAGTTTGACAGAAATGGCTCTACAGGACTTCTAAGTCTGTGTCATGGGCGCCAAGAGGTTTTTACCTGGGTTCTCTGCAGTGTGCACACTGAAACCTAAAGTCTCTGTGTACCAAGTTCTACCACCTAGAGACCACTATTCTGTGAAGAAGGCCAAGCCAGCCTGGAGACCACAGCAGAGGCTCTGAGACCGGACGTAGGGAGATAGGGATATCAGTACAGGCCCCACTCTCCAACCTTCCACTGTCCCGGATCAGCTACGGTCTGATGACAACCATTTGGTAGGCCCAGAGGCAATCAGCCTAGCTGAGGCTTCCTGAACTCCCAACCTTTGGAACTAGTGATGGATTATAATGTGATTGTAGTTGTTAGACATCATCAAGTTTGGGAATGGTTTGTTACACAGCCATAGATAACTGATACAGGAGGAAAGGGAAGATTTTTGATATGAATCCCCACTGCTATCACCAGGAGTGATCCAAAAAGCTATTTTCTACTAGCTGGAACAAAAATAAACCCCATTCTCTTCTTATATTTGAACATCTATTTCTCTGAGTGTTAATGTTTCTTGTACCCTTAAGTAATATTGGACATCTTTATCCATGCTTTCTACCTAAGATCATTTACTGATAGAGACTCCAACTTGCTTACATGTTAAGAAGAGACAGAGTTAAAGGGGGAAGCAGTAACCACAGCTTTAACCAACTTGTAAATGTCAGGGTCCCTGCAAGGGAAGGACAAAGAACACCAAAAACATTTTTCCCTCCACTCAGTAACTGTAGAGCAGGAGACCATATCAACGTTCTGTAATTGTCACACAACTTAAATGGCCAAACTTCACTCATCCACAGGGAGAGTTTCGATTCTGCTTCCTATTTTCCAAGACAGATCACATGGTAAATCCCTGTTACACTGTGTAGGCTAAAGCAGCCAAGGGTTACGAGCTATACAGTGCCATATAGCTACGAACTCCTCCGTCTCTCTGTGGCTTGCCTTGCAACAAATGCATCAGCTGAAGGATGGCATTCTAACAGAAACTTGATGCGCCGGAGAAATGGGATCTTCTTGATAAAGAAGTAGGGCTTGCTGAACATCATCCTGGAAAAGGCTGGGCAGTATCTAATGAAATAAAAAGGAAACTACTTGGGGCATCTGGGGGGCTCAGTTGGTTGGGTGTCCGACTTCGGCTGGGGTCATGAGCTCACGGCTCGTGAGTTCAAGCCCCGCGTCGGGCTCTGTGCTGACAGCTCAGAGCCTGGAGCCTGCTTCGGATTCTGTGTCTCCCTTTCTCTCTACCCCTCCCCCACTCATGCTCTGTCCCTCAAAAATAAATAAACATTAAAAAAAAAAAGGAAGTTACTCACTCAAGCATCGAGAAATCAAGAGTCAGACTCTCAACCGACTGAGCCGCCCAGGTGCCCCTGAAACAGTATTTTTTTTTTTAAAAATGGAGAGAGGTGACTGGTTGCTGAAGTTTTATTTGCCCAGGGCATTTAGCAACTTTCCTCTTTTTGTTTGTCTCTTTTCAGAAGCTCCTTCCCCCATTCCTGCACTTCTGTACAGTGGTGAGGATGCCATGCTCATTTTAAGCCCACCCACAGCCCCACTGGCAGCATACAGGAGGGAAAGAGATCCCAGGCCAGCCACCAAACCAAACCCAGGGACCCAGTGATTGGTTCAGGATACACAGATGACCCCAGTGGGTCCCGTCAGAGTTCTCATGCTACTAGTTGGACTCAGAAGGAAAGAGAGCCTTTCTCCTCTTTGGATTATGAATGGTGGGAATGTCAACCCAAGACTTTTCAGCAATTTCAAGAAAGGCTGTACGAAGCAGGAGGAAGAGAATAAATCCAGTATGCAAAGAAAAGACACAGAAACAAGGCTGAGGTGAAAAATGAGAGGAAAAGAGAAAAGATGACAATATTGTTTGATCCCTGGATTTGGCCATGCAAATAAGTAAGCCTTTCCCTAGACTTCAAATTAAATGAGTGGGAGTTTCTGGTTCTTGCAATACAAAGAACCCTGATTAATACAACTTATTGGATTATTTAAATATTTCTTTTTTTTTTTTTTTAAAGTAGGTTCCACACCCAACATGGGGCTTGAACTCACAACCCTGAGATCAAGAGTGGCATACTCTACCGACTGAGCCAGCCAGGTGCCCCAGATGATTTTAACATTTCTTTAATACCATCAGTTCCACCGCATACAAAACTGAGGCATTTTACGACTCCGCCTTTGTGAAACAATAATGTAAGTAATAATTCAAGTTGCAAAAATAGCAAAGACATTGACCACCTATTACGTCCAAGGTAATGCACGTGTGCACAAAACGACAGAAAAAGGCAAACGCGCCATAGGGCCAGCAAGCCCGGCAGGACAGACCTCCACAAAGTTCACAGCGGGCCCCTGAGGATAGCTTCTAGAGCTTCCATATCAAGGTGATTTCCATTTCTTTGTATGCTTATCTTTCACCTCCAAATCTTCCACAGTAAACTATATTACATCTGGAATCAGAAAAAAAAAAAAAAAATGTCCTTGAAAAAGACTACTCCATTTATCAAACCAATGGGGCTATTTCTCATTAATTGTTGTTTTAATATTAATTAAGAGCATTTATATAATGTTGTTGAAAATCAAACTAAAATATATTATCTGTCATAGTATTTCATTTTGTGGGTCTTCTAGCTGTGTCTTCCTATTAATCTCCCCAGCATATTTGCATATCTGTTTCTTAAATTCCCCTCACAGAAAACCTCCCTGTGTGCTCAGTAGGAAATTATTCTGACCCTGAAATAAAACAATGGGAGTTCTTTAGATTAGAAAATCCCTTTGGACTGAATTTAAACAAAAGCTGAAAGTTTGTCGCCTGTTGATTTCAACTCTCCCAAGAATAAGAGTCATCTGCCTCTATCATGTGACACACGGTTCCTTTAATCTTGGGTCTTAAAGGGTGGTGGGGGGAGGGTGGTGAAAATCACCAATGTCTTTTGCAGTCAGTTTGAACCCAGTAAGAAAAGAAATATCATCGGGAAGAGACAAACCAAAATGAGGAACCGAATTTACGTAATGTTTTTAGTTTTAGTTTTGAGTAACCCCTTATGGGTAAAACCTGACTCCTCAGTCTGGAAGACTCACTGCATTCCCCATCCCCCTCCCTCCCCCCAGTAGCCCTCACCCCAGCACCAGACCCTGTCACGACTGTGGGTGCAGCTGCCACCAGCAGGCAGACAGGGATCCAGCCTTTGCAACACCCAAGCAAAGAAAGGGGACGACAATGCGCTCTGGGGTTCTGTCGCCTGGGGTAGAATCTTGAAGTTGTCATTTGGAGTGTATGACCCTGGGCAAGTTGCTTCGTCTCTGTCAGCCCCAATTTCCTCAACAATTTAGGAATAATAGTAGTAAGGACCAAAGAGGTAGGTTGAGATGAGATCAAATGTTCAAGTGCCCAGCCCAATGCCGAACAATGCTAAGAGCTACGTGATCGTTTGCTATTATTATCGGCCAAGGACTTTCACACACATCATTCACTGTCCTCTCTCGACATTCTCTGATGTTCCCTGCTCCTCTCGTCCCCACGTAAAACCATGTAGGAGGTCCTTACAAGACTTTAAGGCACTTGCCGCATTTACACGTGCCTTTCTCCACTGCAGTAGAAGTTAAGAACAATATAAGACATACCTTATTTATCTTTGTGTGCCCAGTGTAGACATTCTGTAATTTGGGTTTTTTTTTTTAATTTTTTAAACTTTTTTGTTTTTAGAGAGAGAGAGAGAGATGGGGAGAGAATCTTAAACAGGCTCCACGTTCACTGTGGGGCCCGACACGGGCTCGACCCCACAACCCTGGGATTGTGACCCGAGCCAAAATCAAGAGTTGGACGCTCAACCCACTGAGCAATTCAGGTGCCCCAACATTCTGTAATTTTTAAAGAAACGAATGAATGAATGCCTGGCCCTCTAACAGATGAGGAATTTGAGGCTCAGCATCCTCAGCAGCTTCGGCAAGATCCCAAGGTGGTGAGTGCCAGAATCCAGTGATTACATTAAAGGGTCTGGAGGGACAAGACTTAATATGTGACAGTTCAATGTTTTGAGGGAAATAGACAAGCTTGACTAGAAAGGGAACCAGATAAAGGAGCATTAAAAAAAAAAAAAGAAAGAAAGAATTTTGATCAAACATGTGACAATAGCATGCCTCGTTTATAAGAAATGACGGCCTTGTCTGGACACGCACACACCAGTTTTAAAACAAAGAAACGCAGTCCCACTCAGTGAAACAAGTGATTACTTTGGAAATGATTCATCTCATTCCAGGGAACAATAAGCAGCTAATTGTGGAATCTCATATTCAGTTCTTTGCATGTTTTTTAAGACTTCCTTGATCCTGTTGTTTGGTTATGTATTCATTGCTTTAATTCAAACCATTGTTTTAAAACTCACTCAGTGATTTTGAATTTTCGAGTATTGTTCTTTTGAAATGTTTGAAGCAATCTAACCACAAAGGACGGCGATCTCTGTCACTCCCAAACACAAGGATATTTTACTGAAGTTTCAGTGACTTTTTAAGATCTAGTCTCGTCCATCTCTCTCTCTTTTTTTAAGTAGATACGTTTGTGTTTCGAGGGTAAGAGTCTTTTTGTCTCTCTGCCTTTGCTGTTCAAAACCAAAACATTTTTAAATCCATCTTTTAGGCAAGCATCGATTCTTTTTTTCTTTTTATGTGTTTGGTGCTAAAGGACAGGAGAAGTGATCACCTCTTCCCCTGTTACCCTTGCCCCAACTCTTCTTGTCGGGGTTGATGATCAGGCTGTTCGAAAGCGAATGCACAACCCTAATGTAAGCACACCACGTGAAGTCCAAGTCCAAGTGGAGGCCAAGGCTGGCCTGCCCAGAGAGCTACGGCCATCCCGTGAGGCCATTTCTTCGTGGGGTTGAGCCCATGAACATGGATTGATCTGAAATTATTAAACTACGAAAGAACGACCCAAGTCAGCATGCCATACTCTTTCTCAATTTTTTGGAGCAAAGTTTCTTGTTACAAGAGTAATGAAAAAAAGAACAAATATTTTGTTATCTTGAAAGCATGGAAAAACATTTTAAGATTTTAAAATTTTTCTGCAAACCATCTTCAGCTACAAAATGGAAATTTGGGGCACAATTTGAAAACTCCTGCATATGCTTTTTAGCTTAACAGAGTAAAAAATGCCTCTGTTGTAACTTTTTCAGTCGTAAAAAGTCAGAATGATTTTTACTCTAAATCAGGGAAGAAGGCAACTTGACAGTGGTTATAAAGTTACTGATTGGACTTACTTTAAAATGTTTTAATGTTTTCTAGAAAAGAAGGTCCAAACTATGGAACTTTTTAAAGCACCAGATCTCTCTTTTTGTTTTCATGAGTTTATGAAAAGCAGGCCAAAACTTAAAAACTGAAGAACCCATGAACATTAACAATGAACATAGAAAGTTACATTTTCTTTTTCTTTAGAGACTGTTTTTAAAGTGTATTTATTTATTTAAAATTTTTTTAATGTTTATTTATTTTTGAGAGACAGAGAAACAGAGCACGAGCAGGGGAGGGGCAGAGAGAGAGGGAGACACAGAATCGGAAGCAGGCTCCAGGCTCTGAGCCGTCAGCACAGAGCCCGACACAGGGCTCGAACTCACAAACTGTCAGATCACGACCTGAGCCGAAGTTGGGCGCCTCACCGACTGAGCCACCCAGGCGCCCCATAAAGTGTTTTGGTTTATTTTTGAAGGGCGCGAGCAGGAGAGGAGCAGAAAGAGAGGGGGACAGAAGATCTGAAGAGGGTTCTGTGCTAGAACAGTGAGCCAGATTTGGCCTCAAACTCACAAATCCTGAGATCATGACCTGAGCCATAGTCAGTGGCTCAACTGACCAAGCCACCCGGGTGCCCTGAAAATTATATTTTCTGTGCTTAATCACAGAGTCAGGCATCCTTTTTCAGCAAAGGAGCCAGACATCCGGGAAACAGCTGAAGCTGGTCCAAAGCCTCTCTCCTCTCAGGAAGTATGTTGTGGGTCCCCTGGGGCTAATGCTTGCTTCATCACTTTCGAAACCTTCTGAAAATTCAAAAGACCAACTTGTCACCCTTTCATGTGGTCTTTCATGACTTGGTTTGCTGGGTTTTGTTTTTTTCTTAATATAAGCCAATGGCCTCGTGTTGTAGAAAATGGATACGTGGGATACAGTAAGAAAGATAGCCAAACACCGAATTCGCAAAGACTCACCACTAGGTTACCAGAAAAAAAAACCTGCTTGAGATCATTCTTTGCAAGCCCTTTTCCTGGCCTGAAGGCAAGCCCCTTACCTGAAGGGGGAAGAATCAGAATTTGGCCACAACTGCAAGGCTCCTGAGTGTGGTGCTTACTTAGTCCCTACTCCAGCCAGTGGTGGTGCTGTCGTCCAAGAGGTCTGCAGTAACAAGAGCTCTCGACAAAACCCTACCAGGACCTTTACTATATAGTCTTTCCCCTTCCTTTGCTCTGGACTTATAAACTGAGGCAGTGTTAGAGTAACCAAATCAGCTCATTCTACCTGGGTCATAATTTCTAAGTCACATCGACCAGCAATAGACCGAAACAGATCCAGTTTACTGCCGCAGAAAGTGGCTTTACACCCGTCAGAGGGTTTTATAGTTAAATCTGAAGACATTTTCAGCAAGTTCACTGTTTTGTTTTGTTTTGTTTTGTTTAGTTATGGAAATTAAAATTTTTTTTTTGTTTTAATGTTTATTTACTTTTCAGAGAGCGAGAGCAAGCAGGGGAGGGGCAAAGAGAGAGAGAGGGAGGGAGAGAGAGAATCCCAAGCAGGCTCTGAGCCATCAGCACAGAGCCTGATGCAAGGCTCAATCTCACAAACTGTGAGAGCATGACCTGAGCCGAAGTCAAGAGTTGGACACCTAACTGACTGAGCCACGCAGGTATCCCTACTTATGGGAATTTTAATGCCCCAATTAGTTCCGAGTCTTTACTTTCCACCATGTTGAGTCTTACTATTGTATTTTAGCATCTTAATTTGACTGATATTCTTTTCTTCTGGCAGGCAACACTTCCAATATGAATAGTTGGCACTATGCATCTTTTTATTTGTCCATGGCTCTTTCAAGAATTTCTGTTTTGTGCTACCCTAAGCAAGCGTGAGCCATAGAATGCACACACAGCTGCATATGTCTGTGTGTAGGCGAGCACGTTTCCATCGTGATCTGCCCTGCTGTGTCTGTGTACATTTGCTTTGACAGGCAGCAAAGAACATTCTTGAAGTGTTCGGCATTTCTCTTTGATTTCACAGGCCACAGTATCTGTTCACTCAAGTGTTGATTCTTCTACAAAATCCTGATGAACTGAGACATAATTACAAAGTCTATATGATAGTTTTATTTCCTGGAACATGGCTATATTCATCTGGGAGTGTGAAAAGACATACATGTTTTAGTGATTCTTCCTGGAACACACACACACACACATACACACACACAGAGTAAATCTAATAGTTGAAATGATAAAAGCTGCCATTTTTCTAACCCTTACTCAATGCCATTGTACTAAATGCTTTGCACACAGTATCTCATTTAGATTCACAACAGTGGTGAAAGAAAATTAGCTATTACCCACCCCATTTTATTAATGGGTTTTATAGTAATTCTTCCAA